TCAGCAAGAAGCCTGCTTCTCCCTCTCCCACTCCCCCTGCTTGTGCTCTCTCTCTTTGTGTCTCTGTCAAATAAATAAAATCTTTAAAAATAAAAATAAAAATTAGGGTTTATATTGGGGTGCCTGGATGACTCAGTCGGAAGAGCACACGACTCCTGATCTCTGGGTCATGAGTTCAAGCCCCATGTTGGGTGTAGAGCTTAACTTAAAAAAAAAATTAAGAACAAAATGATAGGATTTTTAAAAAGATTTTATTTATTTGAGAGATAGAGAGCGAGAGTGCACAAGCAGGGAGAGGGGCAGAGGGAGAAGCAGGCTCCCCACTGAGCAGAGATCCTGACAGGGGGCTCCATCCCAGAACCCTGGGATCATGACTTGAGCCGAAGGCAGACGCTTAACCAACTGAGCCTCCCAGGTGCCCCCAAAATGATAGGATTTTTTAAAATAAAAAAGTCCCCCATTCCGGGGACGGTGTCCGTAGGCATTCAGAATGGTCCAGCGTTTGACCTACCGTCGTAGGCTGTCCTATAATACAGCCTCTAACAAAACTAGGCTGTCCCGACCCCCTGGTAATAGAATTGTTTACCTTTATACCAAGAAGGTTGGGAAAGCACCAAAATCTGCATGTGGCATGTGCCCAGGCCGACTTCGAGGAGTTCGTGCTGTGAGACCTAAAGTCCTTATGAGGTTGTCCAAAACGAAAAAACACGTCAGCAGGGCCTATGGTGGTTCCATGTGTGCTAAGTGTGTTCGTGACAGGATCAAGCGTGCTTTCCTTATCGAGGAGCAGAAAATCGTTGTGAAAGTGTTGAAGGCCCAAGCACAGAGTCAGAAAGCTAAATAAAAAAATGAAGCTTTTTTGAGTAATAAAAAAAAAAATCAGAAGGCTTAAAAAAAAAAAAAAAAGAAAAAGTCCCCCAAATAAAAACGTCCTCTAGGTAAATATAGCATAGTACAATCAGGACCTGACACCCACCCCCATCACTGGTAGAGGGAGCCCCGGGGCCAGCCCTGACCCCCAGGGGTGGTGTGCGGTCCACTCTCTGGGCTGCTGGGAATGAAGGGGGCCAGGCACCCTGCCTGGCATGGGGAGCAGCTTCTCAGGGTGCCCATAAGGGGTATCGTGTGCCCTGGACCCTCCATTCAGTCTGGCCTCATTCAGGGTTTACCTCCACCAGCCAGAGTTTACAACTGCCTTCAACCCTCAGCCACCCATCTAACATTTATTGAGGCTCTACTGTGTGCAGGCACCAAGCTAGGCTCTGGGATATAAAATCAAGGAAGAGAGCTCTTACCCTGCAGAAGCTTGCAGTCCCGGGGGGCTGGATGTGCAGACAATGATGTCCCAGAACTATGGTTGCTGGACGCAGAGATGATACAAAAGAGGGGTGGGGTCAGGTAGCTTGGACGGCCTTTGAGGGGTGGTCTCTGAACAAGGTCCTCACAGATGAAGGGGGTCCGGAGCAGGAGAGAGCCTGGACCCGGTTTGTCCCTAACTCACAGCCCGTCCCAAGCATGGAACCCGGCTGCTGAGATGGAAGCAGGTGCTCACGTGTCAGTGTGGATGGTCCCTGAGCGGGGGTTAAGGGACCAGCAGGAGGCGGAGGAAGGGTACACAGGTGCGTTCCCTGAACATGGCTGCAGAGGCTAACAGCGGTGACCCCTGGGGCCGCGGGGGAAGATCCCCCACGAGGACACTCAGGCACTGCGTTGACGCTCTGGTAGGTGCACCCTTCATCTGGTCAGAACCTGTCAGACTGGAAGCCCTGGGAAGCAAGTGCTAGATGGGCACAGGGTTCCTCTGGGGGTGACGTCGTGGAACTAGAAGGAGTGCGGGTGCACCGAGCCGCTCACTGCAGAAGGGTTAACAAAGTACTTCCATGCTGGCTAGACGTGGGGACGCGTGCTGGGCCACCACCACCGTGGACCAGGTCCACAGAGGGGCCGCGTGATGGCAGGTGCTGGTGGGCGTGGGGTGGGGGTTGGGGGACCGCCCTGGGGTGGGCTGAGCTCCACACAGACACGGGTCACTGTCACCGAAGCTGAGCCGGCTGAGGGAGGCAGGTGTCCGGAGTGTCAGAGGCTACTGCTCTGCGCCCAGGGCCACCCCTCCCCCGGGAGCAGGCCCATGCCACTGTCTCGAGGTCAATCACAAAGTGACGCTAAGCTAAGCATGCTTACAGGAAGAAGTTGCTGCAGGGAGTTTGGGGGGCACTCCCCCCACCGTGGCCCCCAGAAATGCTCACCCATCTCCCCTCCAGAACTGCCCCTCATGGGACAGCAGCACAGGGGTTGTTGGTCAGGGGCCGCCAGGCTCAAGGCGGCGGCGGGGGTGGGGGGTAGGCCAGCTCCTGGGCCCGAGGGAAAGCATTCTGGGACCAGAGCACCCCAGCTACTGAGGGCTGGGGAACTCCGCCCCCGACCACAGGCCTGTGTAAAGGCCCTGAGGCAGCAGAGGAACTGAAAAACAGAGGGCTGGGCCGGAGAGCCGGCCCTGGGGGCCAACACAGACTTGGGCCAGGCCACCGTCAGGGCGGGGCAGCAGGAAGGGGCTGAGGGGAACCAGAGTGTTGTGGGGGCAGCCAGAGAGAAATGGGGAGCGGCAGGGACAGGGTGCTGCCTGCAGTGTGAGGAAGATAAGGAAAGAGAGAAGCAGTTTCCCAGCACAGGCAGAGGCCTCAGCAGCCCCAGGAGGGGTGGAGGGGTGCCGGCGGCGGGCCAGGCTCCAGCAGCTGACGGGGGGAGCCCCTCCAGGTTGGGCATCTGCCCGGTTGCAGAGAAAACGGGTCTTGCGGTTTTCTTTATAGGATATCAGTACACCCAATTAAAATGCTAGTTATCCAAAAAGACCAAAATTCATGTGGATTGATACAAACTCCCAGATAAAATACTCTCATGTTGCATGAGGACTTGTTGATACTGGGTTTCCCGTGGGACAGGGATCTGTGCGATTCTAGACTGAGACTTTGGACCCAGGTTCCTGGTGGCTGCCCCCCTCGTTCCTCATGCTGGCCCCATGGGTCAGCAGGACGGCGCCGTGAACAGGAGTAAACAAAATCAGGACAGACTTGGCCTGCGCGGGCCGCACACAGTGAGTGCAGCAAAGCGTGGTGGAGAGCGATCCTCCCTCAGGCCGGGGCCTCCTGGTCCCCCGCACACCTCCACAGCATCATTCCCAGACAACCCACACCCACCACCTCCCATTCCACCGAAACGTTCTCATAGCCAATACTTCAGTGAGGTTCCATTCGTTGGCATTCATTTTATTTAGGACTCAAAGGAACACTGACCAACCAGGTCACTAAATCATTTATTTTCATGTTTCCCAGCTTAGATTTGTCTGCCAAGCCACACTCCAGTCTATTTTCACTTGGTCTCACGATTCTTCATTCATTCAGATGCTCCAAAGTGTCGGTCGAGTAAAAATCCATTTCTCAGCCAATAACCGCGCTACATGAGAATGGAAAGGTAAAGTGATTCACACAACCCTTTCTCCTCCTTAATCATTAGCTCACTAGCTTTTGGCAAACCGTGGTCTGTGCCAGGTAGCGCACCTCAGTAGGAAACGGAGCAGGGGCCCACTCCTGGATCTCCATGTCCTTGCCGGCGCCCCTGGAGCAGACCCGACCTGCAGGCGCCCTTGCTCAGGGGTGCCTCTCGACAAAGCTCCTCTAACAGCTGGAACCAGCTGGCCAGCTAGGGAATACACCTGCAGATTCGGCAATCTGAAGCAGAAGGTCTCTAACAGTTGGTGTGTCTGCACTGCAGCGTGTCCACTGATTTTGCTTCCTTGGCCCCAAGCACAGAGTTAACAAATTCCATACGGTCGGGTCAAGACAGCGTGTCTGCAAACACGTGAGGCATTTCGTCTGTAGTCATGAGTCATGTGACGTTGTACCTCACTTCTTGACCACAACCCGACACTGACAGAATGAAGACCCTAATTTTTAATTTAAAATTTAGTCAACATACAGTGCCATATTGGTTTCTTCCAAAAGGGGGTTGCTTTCCTTGCAGACTTGCAGTTTTGTTCTCTCAGATCTCCAACTGATTGCTTGGGTGTTCAGAATGATTTGATAACTAGCTGTGCTCCAGGGGCAAGACAAACTTAGGGTCCCCCTACTCCTCTGCCATCTTAACGCCTCCGGATCATAATTTTGTTTTATACCAGATTATTTTTAAAGATCCACACACTTCTCTGCCTAACTTCGACATGGTAGAGTGAAGTGCTGGTGAGGCGTCCTCTCTACTCCTGCTTCAGTTGGTAACTTCCACGCACAAATGAGACATTCGGGGACAGAGGACCAGCACAGTCCAGACATGCATCCACTCCTGACACCTCACTGTGCTAATTAGTGGCAATTTGGGTTTTTTGGTTTGTTTTTTTTTTGACCAGGGTTAGTCTTGTGAATTTTGAGCATATTCTGGATTTAATAAAAATGTAAATATCTGTACAAATTAAATCTATTCCTGGAACAGAGAAAGGACTGTGGGAAAACCGAAGGCATCTGGTTAAATCTGTAGTTAACAGCACTATATATCAACATTCATTTCTGTTGGGATACATGTCCTGTATCCACATAGCAGAAGCTGGGTAGTGTCTACGGAAACTCTGCATCATCTTTGCATCTCTCTTGTAAATCTAAAATTATTTCCAAATTAAAAGTTACAAACACTGAATCTATTAAATATAAAATACTTAAGGAGACTATAAAGTCCTTATGGCTTCAGGAAACAAGAAAAATTTGAAAGCCTGAAATCTTCAGAATTTTCTAAAACATGGTGCCATGAAAAACTCAAAAAGTTAAGCACGCGGCTTATAAAAGCAGGAAAAGTTGAAATACAAATTTTAATTCAGTAATTAAAACTGAAAAATTCATAATACCAATGACTTACTCTTGTATTATAAATTGTTTTTGAAAAACTGATGTTCTGAAGCCCTAAAGACATAAAGTCCACTTTAACAAATTATTTAATGAACTGGTTTAAATTATATTCTATTTTTAAAATAAACTTTTTTTTTTTTTTTTTAAGTAAACTCTACGCCCAACACGGGGCTTGAACTCATGACTACAAGACCAAGAGTCCCAGGCTCTTCCGACTGAGCCAGCCAAGTGCCCCTCAAAATAAACTTTTAAATGTTTCTAGAAAAATGAATGATAATTTGTCATGCAATTCCATAAAACGTTAGCTATTTTTAACATCATAAGCAAATTTTAGGTAATAAGAAACAATATAGAGTATTAACAAAACATGTTCTATTTGGGAACACCTGATACGTACGTAACAAGGACAATAAATAGGAATTAAAAATGAAGGGAATAATCACACATACGTTTTGTTCAAGACAGCTGGGAAGCAGACGGCCGGCCGAGGGAACGGAGGGCTGCGCGTGCGCACACAGAGACCTCACGCTAGAGACAGACGTGGTGACTAAGCAGCACCTGCCCTCCTAGGCTGGACCTCTGGGAAGGCCAGGCAGGGCCCTGGGAGCAGCCACAGAGACTCCTCCGGACTCACTCACCAAAGAATCCCCCAGCCTCCCTCAAGAGGGAGCCGCGTAAACAGCGCTGGAATACCGTTTTCCAAGGCAGGCAACACTCCACTGATGGACTGACTGGCATCATGAGGGTGCAGCTTCCGGCGCCCACCCCGTTCGGTGGCGCACCCACCCCGTTCGGTGGCGCACCCACCCCGTTCAGTGGCGCGCCCAGGGGAGCCCCTGGAGGTCCCTCTGGTTGGAGAGACCAGACTTGGACCCTCGGAGTTCATGTAACGAGACTATGTTTAATGAACACCAAAGTGGGCGCTACAACAGAGGGCTGTGGGGGCTCAGAGGAGGGGGGCAAGGGTGGCAGTGGAGGGGAGGTGAGCAGTGACACTGCCTCCCAGCACCTCTTCTCTCACTAGGGACTCACACTGTCCCCCTCGGAGCCTCTCAATAGTCCCATGGGGACAGCAGAGCACGATGACTGGCCCCATTTTACAGCTGGAGAAACAGAGATCCGTGGCTTGCCCAATGCCACACGGGGCTTCTGGTCCTTCCTCCTGCACCATGGTGGCCTGGCTCAGAGGAGACTGGAGTAGGTGGGCAGGGGACAGCCAATGCCTCACAGGAGTAACAAGCGAGTTGGAGACAGCAGAGGCATGGCACACAGGGACACCAAGGTGCTGGCTGCAGCCACGTGGGGCCCAGGCTGGGGGCAGGACCCCTGGCACCTGTGGCCCAGGCTGCCACAGCCCCACGTGGCTGCTTGGGTGTCTGTCGGCTTCCCCTCCTCCCCCGGGTGCCCAGGCCCTCAGGACCAGCTGAGGGAGGTCACGAGGTAGGAGACCACTCCCTGATAAGTCTTCATGTGGCACCTACAGTCTGCAGGGCTTGTGTGGGGCCAGGCCGGGCAGGGAAAGGGGCAGAGGTGGCACAAGAAAACCATGTTACGTGGCCAACTACAGGGTTGTGTGAGGGATGCAGAGGGGTGTGTGAAGGAGCGCGTGGCAGGGATCTGGGCGGGGGGCAAACCTAGCAACCTGGGGCACGTGGGGACGGACGAAGATGAGCATGCCACGCTGAGCAGTCTGGACAGGAGCCTGGGGCCAATGCAGAGACTGTTGGGGAGCAGAGGTGGCCCAGGACAGAGAGGACTGAAGAAGTTCCCGCGGGTCCAGGCTTCTCCTGGATATGGAGTTGGCTGGTTTGGGGTCAGCCGCAGAGGGCCCCTCCCTGGGCCATCCTGGGCCAAGCTGGCGGACTCTTAGGGCATGGACCTACAGTGGGGCCCAGCAGAAGCCTCAGGCTCTGAAACACAAGAAGCCGTGATGTCCCCTCCAGCCCTCCATCATACTGGTGCTCAGCCCTCTCTCAGGAGGGGCCCAGAGCTCAGCACACATCCCGTCCTCCCCTCTCTCCCTGCAGTTACTGTCCGAGAGGCAGCCACAGGAGGCCAGCACGGGGAGGAGGGCATGGGGTTAGAAGCCCCCGGCAGGTGCTCCTGCTGTGGGAGGGGGAGCAGGAGGGGGACATGGCCAAGGAGCAGTCCCCAGGATGCCTGTCTCTTCTGGGGAGCCGCCAGCGCCAGCTGCTGGCCAGGTGGCCGCCTACCCGCAGGACCCATGGTAGCCGCGGGACTCTGCTCGGGAGCAGTGTTGAGGCACCAGCAGGGGGCGCCATGGCCCCACACTTGGTGGAAGGTTCCTTCTGCCTTTCCTGTCCCCACCCCTGCACCAAGGGACTGAGACTCAGGCCTGCAAGAGGTGGCCCCTCTAGGCCCTGGCACCAGATGCCTCCACAGAGGACAACTGGGGCCTGAGACCAAGCTCGAGGCAGCAGCAGGTGTGAGCAGGTGTGAGCAGGGACAGGCCCAGCCAACTGAGGTCCTGGCATCCCCTGGCCCGCCCAGATCCAGAGCCCCTGCTGCACCTCGCCGCTGCCCACAGCACGGGGGGTCCTCACTTACTGCCTCCCCCTGAAGGGGGGCCTGGCCCCTGCCCCACGCCCACCCCACGGTGACGGCTCAGTCACCGTCTGTGCAGGCCTGTCACTGAGTGTCAGGGTCTTGGAAGCCCCAGGCCTCCACAGCCGCGATGAGGAAGTTCTCAGAGCAGAGGGGCTGGTTGTTGAAAGTGTCGCAGTGGCCAGTGCGGCCCCGATTCAGGTCCCCATCGATGTAGAGCGCCTGGCCGCCCCCTCCACCTGTGGGATGCTCCAGTGAGTGGCTGCCCCTCTGTCCAGCACCGCCCCCGGAACACTCTCCCCTGCTCCTGAGCCTCTCCACTTGGCTGGGGCAAGCCTCCTAGCTGTCCCTGCCCTGGCCCTGCCAGAGACTTCTCCAAGACCACAGGGCGGGCCAGGGTCCCCCACGACACACCCTGCTGTCTCCACTCCCGCCCACAATCCCGGTTCTCGTCCTCTGCCCGTCCCTCAGGGGAGGCACCTGCTATGCAGGAGCTTTGTGCCCCACGACCCTGCACCCGTCTCCCAGGCTAAGTGACCAAGGGCAGGCAGGAGTCCAGCCTGGGGTGCAGGGAGGTACCCACCTATGATGAGACAGTCGTTGCCCCCAGCCATGAACATGGACTCCGTTTTGGAGGGCAGGTTGAAGTGACGTGCAGCCAAGAAGGGTGAGAGGCGGTCAGCAGGGTCGGAGGACACAGGGCGGCAGGGCGGGGACAGGGCGGCAGGGACCTCCAAGGACATGGGCTTGGTCAGCTCTGGGTGTTTGATGACCACCCACTCGTAGCGCTGGACCTCAGGCTGGAGCTGAGGGCAAAGGGCAGTATGAGTCCCAGCACATGGTCCCCCACGGGCCCTCCTGCCCGTGCCCTGCGCCCAGGCTGGGGAGACGCTGCACACGGCCAAGGCCTGCCTGCACTCATGCAGTGTGGTCTATCACCAACGAGAAGCCAACACGGGGGCACCCTGTGGGGTGGGCAGCTGGCAGACTCACTCACCCGAAACACGAAGCACTCTCCAGTCCCAAAGAAGCCCACTTTGCCTCCAAACTTGTTTCTTTCACTCCAGTCTGTTGACAGGTAAGCCCCACACACCTGGGCAGAAAGGCCTGGGGTGTGAGGTTGCACCCCGCCTGCCTGCAGGAGCATCCCTCACTCACTGCTGGGGGGCACTGTTGGCACAGCGACACCCCCGCCCCAACCTGAGGGCGAGAGCCAGAGGTGACCGGCGGGGTGGGGAGGTCAGAGTCTGGAGGACATGGGGCGGGCAGTGACAGTGGGTGGGCAGCCGCCTCGGCCGGCATCGGCTTGAGGATACTTTTGTTTCCCTCCTTGGCCCTCAAGCATGGGGAATAGCCCATGTCTGCACTCGAACTTCGGCCGTCAACCCCAGGGATGCCCCTCACACAGAAGCTTCCCAGAGAGGACCCTGCTCTAGAATGTTCCCCAACCCCGTCAGCTAGCAAAGTGCTAGATTTCACCAACAGATTCAGTCCTCTGAGTGGCTGCGGGCTTTGCCCCCAGTGTCTGACAGTGAGTCACCTGCTAGAACGCAGACACAGGATCGGGAACAGGGTGAGTAACCTAAAACTCCCATGGGTGCAGGTTTGGGAGCCAAGGAACAAGGAGCCTCTACCGGGAGCACATGCCCCCAGAATGGAGGCCTGTGAGTTCTGACTTTCCTAGATGCTTCAGGGCACGTCCAGGTGACTGCAGCGGACAGGCCCTGATGACCACCTGTCGGGGTGGGGGGGTGGGTGAAGACAGCAGGTGGAGGGGAGGCAGGGTCTTGCTCACTAGGTTATTTCTACAGTGCTCCCTAAAGCCAGGCCCTGGGGTATCAGGCTGCTTTAGCAGGAGCTGAGAGCCCCAGAGGAGACAGGAGGCCCTGGGTCCTTGGTGGTCACTCGGGGAGGCTGGACTCACCCCTCTTCCACTCTGCACCCCTGAGTGCAGGAAGCCTGGGTGGAGGTTTCAGGGCAGCACCCACCCTCCCCGAAGCTCATCAGAGGCAAGGACCCCTCCTCACCTCCTTTTGCGTGGTCTTGATGAGCAGGAGGGTGGGCTCATGTCCTTCACACTGGAAATAGAACCTGGGAGCAAAGACCACACATCCAGCCTGGTATCCTGCTCGGTGCGACCTTTGGCCACAGCATCCGGTGCCCACTGTACCTGAGAAGCCCGGGCTGTCTGGGGTAGACAGGCCTGGGAACTGTGTTTCCCTGTGTCCTGGGGAGCAGGCACGATGGCCAAGGACCTGGCAGCACCTTGGCCTAGATAATTCTCAGCCAAGACAGAGCCCAGGCCAAGCAACCCGGGGGCCGAGCAGTCAGCTACGCCAGACTGTGTGTCCTGGTATGATGTGGGGGGAAGGCGCACGGCAGACCAACCGCAGCAGCCATGTGCCAGGTGCTTCAGGGAGGCAAGACCAGAGGAACAGGTCCCTGTTCTATGAAAGCTCGGAACGTGCCCAGGAGCCTGAGCCTGAGAGACAGGCAACACTGAGAAGTGCCTGAGGAGGTCTGATGTTGCATTGTGGTGGCACCAAGTGCCCAGGGCTTGCCCGGCGTCCCCAGTGGCCCTGCCGGGCTGTCCCACACTCCTGCTGGGCCTCCCACAGAGCATGGGGGGGCGGGGGGGGGAGCAGGCGAATCAATCTCTAGCTATGCCACCTCTGTGGGGTCACCTGTGACCCAAGCCAGAAACTTCTGAGGCCACCTGGGGCTGCACCTGGAGGAGCTGCCTTGAGAGGTGGTATGCCTTGAGGGGGGCCTTGCCAGAATTCCCTGGACCCACCTGTGGACCAGTCAAGGGGGGGTCGGGGAGTAGTGACCCAAGGCCGACAGCCACAGGTCATCCTGTGCTAGGATTCTTTATACTCCTGGGTGGGGATTCTGCTTCCCATGTTGTCCCAACACCCACACAGAAATCTGGAGCCATGCTGTGTATTCAGGGCACTGAGCCCTCAAGTGTGGGTGGCCTGGGAGTAAGAGAAGTCCAGGAAGAGGGCCTCCCAATTCCGGGGCCCCCTGGGAATACCCAGGGGCCCATCTCCAGCCACCACCACAACATCCTGGAGTGGTCCCACAGCTCGCTCTGTCCCCCTGCACCGGCGCGCCTCGGGAGGGCAGGCCCAGTGTGTGCTGGTCTCCCGGGGGTTACCTGGTCAGGCTGTACCCGTGCTGCAGGGACGAGAAGAGCAGAAGGGGCTGGCAGAGGGCGAAGCGCTCGGGGACCCAAGACCAGATGTCTCTCATCTCCTTCACGCTGACAATCTCTGAGTGGAAGTTCTCTGCGTGCACGGCCAAGTGCACAAACTGCCTGGGGAGAGCAGGGAGGGCTCAGAGCACAGCCGGGACCCCAGCCCTGACCGTGCCCCCCACCCCGGAGGGATGCAGAGCTTCTCGTGGAAGCTAAGCCTGCAGGGGGCTTCTCACCCATTGAGGGAGAAACGGGATGGCACTGACCCCTGGAGCCCCACTCCCAGAGGTTACAGAGGGGAGAGCACCCAGCCTGGGCCAGGACAAAAGCACCTTTTCCCTAATAAATGGGGACAGAGAGAGAGCCAGCCAAGCACTGACAGACAGCCCATCCAAGGCAGCTGAGCAGACAGGGCCTGAACATCAGCCAGGCTTTAAGGCAGCATTGCCAAAGCCAGCCCTGAGAGCCGGAGCAAGCAGCCAGGCCCTGGGACAGCCCGGCCAGAGATGGAGAGAGGCCAGGCATGGACACGTGGTTAACAGACCTACCTTTTAGAGAGTGAAACACTGAAAAACAGGAGGAAGCAACGGACACAGAGAAGAGAAAGAAAAATAAAACAGACAAGGACAGGTTAGTGGCAAGTACTGATGGCCAGGACGCACCTGCCTGTAGCCCAGGAGAGAGGCCTCCATACCGATGGCCTGGTCAGGCCGAGACGGTGTGGGGACACCACGCGCCCTTCCCAGCCCAGCTCCTAGGTGCTGTGCTCAGGGCGGTGGGCATACCCAGCAGCCACGAGGACAGCAAGCAAGGGAGCCCAGAGCAGGAGGGGCAGAGCCGGGGCAGCTCTGAAATGATGCTCGGTGGTCAACCCGGTCCCCTGCAGACCTCGGACTCCACGGTCAGCGTCCGGCTTCCCTTGCAGCCATAGGCCTTGTCACTGAGAGCAGGACCCTGCACCTTCTGCACCCATAGCTGCCTGAGCAGTTGTGGCCGTGGCCATGAGGCCCCGTCTCCCTCCTGTGTATTTCTAACTGTTTAGGGCGGCCTAGTGGCCGACCAAGAGGCTGGCAGGACGGGCTCCAGCCCCACCCCCCAGGACGTGCCCCAGCCCTTGCCCATGTGGGCCCCTCAGAACTGCCAGGGGGCCACGCCTGAGGCCCCAAGGGGCCCGCCTACCTCTTCTGCTTGACGGTGATGCCCTTCTGCTTCAGAGCTTTCTCGTTGGCCATCTGCAGGAGCTGGATCTCCTTCCGGGAGAAGAGGCGGATGGCGAACGCCTTCTCCAGCAGCTTCTCCGGAGACACGGTCTTGGCGATGTCCCTGACGAAGGCGCGGATGTCCTGCTTCACGCTGTCCGACTCCAGCGGCTGCCCAGCTCTTACCTTGTGGAAGAACTTGAGGATGGCCAGCGCCACGCGGTACAACACCTTGTACCCCTCCACCAGGAAGACGTCGAAGACGCGGGCAAAGTAGCTGAGGGGCAGCTCCCCAAACAGCCAGCGCTGCCAGTCCGCGTAGACCTGCAGGACGTCCTCGGACACGGCCACCATCAGCTTGTGGGCCGCCTGGCAGTACTTGTTCACCAGGTCCCCGAAGGTCATGCAGGAAGACTCGAAGGCCAGGAAGCTCTGGTCCACGAGCTTCCTGCTGGGGTCGTTGCAGGCCAGGACGCGGCAGGCGCTCTCGAAGCACTGGGCCTCGTCTGCACTGTAGTGGAGTAGCAGGGCCACCACGGCCGGCAGCGCAGGGCAGAAGGACACGTCCGGGAACTGGTTGGCGATGCACAGCAGGATCTTGCGCACAGCACCCTCGCCGCGTGGGTTCAGGCAGTAGCTGGGCACCTGCGTGTTGTCCACGAACTCAGGCAAGGGCAGGCTGCTGGTGCTGTGCTTGCCCACGATCTTGCCCACAATGTCGCTGTACACGCTGGCATCCGGCGTGACGGTGCGGCAGGGGATGTCCCGGATCAGGCGCTGGTACACCTTGCCCCGTAGGGCGTAGCTGCGGGCCCAGTAGCCCTGGCGAGCCAGCTGCTTCAGCTCCTGCAGCTCGGTGCAGCTCAGCTCCTTGGGGCCCAGGTCCTGCACGGCAGCGTCCATCTTGTCTCTGTCCACAAAGCAGTTGTACCCCGGGGGGTCCATGGTGTAGGGGGCCCAGGAGGAGAGTCCTAGGCTGCCAGGCGGGGCACGGAGCAGCCAAATCCCCAGCTCCCTCTCAGAGGCCTTTCTGCTAACCTGTTTGCCATCCCATACCCTGTTGGATTAAAAGTCAGGCTTAAATGCATATGAAGGTTCACGTTTTTTTATTTTGTTTTTTCAAGGTTTATTATTTGAGAGAGAGAGAGAGCGAGCGAGCGTGCGGGTGTGAGCATGAGCTTGGGGGAGGGGCAGAGGAAGAAGCAAACTCCCCACAGAGCAAGGAGCCCAACACGGGGCTCGATCCCAGAACTCTGGGATCATGACCTGAGCTGAAGGCAGACACTTAACCAACTGAACCACCCGGGTGCCCCGAAGATTCACATTTTATTTATTTTATTTTTTTAAAGATTTTATTTATTTTTTAGAGAGCGAGCGAGAGAGAAACAGCATGAGAGGGGAGAGGGTCAGAGGGAGAAGCAGGCTCCCCGCCAAGCCGGGAGCCCGATGTGGGACTCGATCCCAGGACCCTGGGATCATGACCCGAGCCGAAGGCAGATGCTTAACCATCTGAGCCACCCAGGCGCCCGAAGATTCACATTTTAAAGAGCATGTTTTGGGCGCCTGGGTGGCTCAGTTGGTTAAGCGACTGCCTTCGGCTCAGGTCATGATCCTGGAGTCCCTGGATCGAGTCCCGCATCGGGCTCCCTGCTCGGCAGGGAGCCTGCTTCTGCCTCTGACCCTCCCCCCTCTCATGTGCTCTCTCTCTCATTCTCTCTGTCTCAAATAAATAAATAAAAAAAATCTTAAAAAAAAAAATTTAAAGAGCATGTTTTTGTTTCAATCTTTATATAGAGTATTTGAAGGGCTTCCATTTAAGATAAGTGGATATTGGGGCACCCAAGTGGCTCAGCAGGGAGTCAGCTTGGTCCTTTCCCTCTGCCCCTCCCTCAGCTTGTGACCTCTCTCACAAATAAAAAATAAAATCTTTAAAAAAAATCTAAGATAAGTGGATATTTTGAGAATTCACTATGAACTCTGCAGTAGAACTTTCCATGGGGCTTACGCAGTTACCTGAGTAGGTTACACAGACTGAGTAAGGATAGGCTAGGGCTGAGTTCCCCGAAGGGCTAGGCCAGCTGATCTGGCTGAAAACAGCTTTTCACGGGGTGGGGGCGGCCTGCCAACACCCCCTCCACCGCCCCACATACCACCCTGCGGCTGCTGGACCACAGCACCCCCGCAACTCAAGAGATGCTCAGTTTCCGCCCCGTCAGGCTTCGGGCCCTTATGGCCTGCGTTCCACTGTGTACCTGCTCTGCCCCACCAGCCCTGGGTCAGAATCCAGAGGCCAGCCCTGAACTCTCCAGAAATGCCAGCTAAGTTTCAGGTAGAGAGGAATCGCTGCTGGGGAGCAGACATGAAGGCTCTGAAATCCATCGAAGCTGTCGTAGCTTTGACATTAAGACATTTCTGGGTCTGAATGAGCCAGAGGTACTGGGGGATTTGGTGCCATCCCTCCACTGTGGGCAACCACAGAGATCCAGGCCGATGCTACAAAATGGGTACATTGTGCAATCTCCAACTCTCTGGCTAACGGGTCGCAAGTCTACCGTTCAGGAGACTTAACATCTGTCCTTGCCAAAGACTACCGTCCTCGGCCATGTCTGCCACGTACCTCAGACCAGCCTTTCCGCCCGGGATGGTATAGGTGGACGCGAGGGCTCAGGGTTTTGCTTCAGCAGATTTCGGTAAATGACCAGATCATTCCAGTTTCTCCCGCACCTAGAACGTTCACCTGAAAATATAAAAAGGAAGTCACGCCTTAAGAACGCTGAGTGGAAATTAAAGAATTACAGTATAAAACCTGTACGTGTGAGGAGGCTGGAGAAAGCCCCTTGATACGGTATTTCTCACTGTGGCAAAATATACAGAAGATTTACCATTTTACCCATTTTTGAGTGCACGCATTAAGCACATTCACACGGTTGTGCAGCCCTCACCACTGTCCATCCCCAGATCGCGTTCCTCTTCCTCAGTTGAAACTCTGCCCCCATTAAACACAGACGTCCCCTCCCCAGCCCCTGGTGCTCACCCTTCTACTGTCTCTATGAATGGGACAACTCATAGAGCCTCACAGAGGTGGAATCATACACATTCGTCATTTTGTGTCTGCCTTACCTCACTGAGCATCATGTCCTCAAGATTCATCTAGATTTATAGCGTGTATCAGAATTTTTAATTTTTAAAAAAAATTTTTTAAAGATTTTATTTATATGACAGAGAGAGACACAGCAAGAGAGGGAACACAAGCAGGGGGAGTGGGAGAGGGAAAAGCAGGCTTCCTGCCAAGGGGGGAGCCCGATGCGGGGCTCAATCCCAGGACCCTGAGATTATGACCTGAGCCGAAGGCAGACGCTTAACCAGCTGAGCCACCCAGGCGCCCCCAGAATTTTTTCTTTTTTAATTTAAGACTATTTTTTATTCTTTATTTATTTTATTTTTTTAGGATTTTTATTATTATTTTTTTTTAAGTCACGTCTACACCCAACGTCGGCCTGGAACTCCTGACCCCAAGTCAAGAGTTTCACGCTCTACTGACTGAGCCAGTTGGGCGCCCCTAAGACTGTTTTTTAGAGCAGTTTCAAGTTCACAGAAAAATGGAGAGGAAGGAAATGCAGAGGAAGGCACAGAGATTTCTCACCCCCTGCCCGCCCCACACAGGCATGGACTGCCCCGCCATTGGCACTGCTCCCCAGTGAGGAGCCTACATGAACTCGTCATCATCACCCGAGATCTGCAGGGTACCAAGGGTATTTTCTAGGAGTTTGCACAAATGTATGATGACATGTATCCTCACGACAGGCCCATACAGGGTATTTTCACTGCCCTAGAATACCGCTGTGCTCCACCTGTCCATCCTGCCCTCCCCCAATCAGAACATTGTTCCTTTTCATGGCTAAAGACTATTCCACCATGTGGACAGAACACGTTGTGTTTACCCCCTCATCTGCAGGTGGGCTCGGGTCGCTGCTGGCTCCTGGCTCCCGTGAGCAATGCTGTTGTGAATGTGGGTGTGCCCGGGTCTGTCAGAGTCCAGCTTCCAGCTCCCCTGGATACGTATCAGTCGATGCTGCTCTTATAGGAGCTTCCCCATAGAGAAGATGAACTAAAATAAGGTTTTGTAACATCACCTATTTCACACGTCCCACCAAGAAGTGCCTCACCCACAGTGGAACCCGGCCTGTGGCTGGGCTGGAGCCTTTCCTTCCTCTTCAGAAGAAAAGAAGCCTTCACGGAGCTGGTAAGTTTGCTCTGTACTGGGTGGGAAAGGAGCCCCCCTGCCCAGGCCCTGAAGAGCCACACCTAGGCTGCACTCCACAGGCCCCATGTGCAAATTACCTATAGCTTTGTGGGTTTTGTTTTGTTTTGTTTTGTTTTGTTTTTAGTTTTTATTTCTTTAAGTCCTCTCTACCCCCAACTTGGGACTCGAACTCACAATCCCACGATAAAGAGTCACACGCTTTTTGGACTGAGCCAGCCAGGAGCCCCACCTATAGGGTTTAGATCCTTCATTCTAGGCTCTGGGCCCGCTAACCTCTGAAGGGGACCCCAGGCCCATCCTGTGTGTGAGAAAAGCAGCAGCTCCTTCTCAGGGCAGTAAACATGTTTATAAGCAGAACAAGAGCTGGGCAGGACAGCACCAGTCCTCACTCAACTGGCCTCCCATTCTGGTGGAATATTAAACTGGCAACTCCAAAGACGATTATCACACCTTGCAAAGTTCCTTCAGAAGGACCTTCAGGGAGGAGCAAACAGTTTCGTTTGCTGCAGCAAGGAGCTCAGGGACATGCCGGATTCAGAGCGAGTCCAAGGCTGGGGCATGCTTAGGAGACCCTGGAGAGCTCCCCGAGCCCCCACAGGCGTCCTCCTCAAGCCCCACCCCAAGAGACAGCATGGCATTTCCAGGGCCAGCGAGGCTTGCAGCGACTGCTTTAGGCATCTATAAAACCAGATCCAGGGAGGTTTTCTCGGTTGTTGTCGTTTTTAAACAGGAATGCATCATCACAAAAAGGGCCAATAATACAAAATTGTAGAACAAAAATGTGAAGTCCTGTTTCAGTCGCCCACCCCAATCCTACCTCCTCTTCCTCCTAAAGGTAAACACGACTCACATTTTAGGGCGTATCCCGCAAAGCCCTTTCCTTAGACTGACACATACACACTCATTCACAACCACGTTAGATGGTGTAAGCTGGCTCCTGGGAAGAAGTCGGGGGCAGGAAACACACCAAACATGTAAGAACATATAAACTACTCTCAGTTGAACACTCGTGCCCTGGAGGTAAGTTTTGGAGCTGACGTGCCTGTACCCTCAGATCCTCCTCCTGCAGCTCATGGCTACCATAGGACACTGTTGGGATGCAGGAAACAGGCCTCAGCTGCTGCCCATGCCCCCCCCCACCCCGCCACCACCGGCGGCTGCCCAAGGGGCCAGGAAGGAGGAAGCAGGCCATGCTTCCACATCCACAGTCAGGGGTCAGGAGTGGAGAAGGGAGGCAGGAGCTAATGCAGGAGGTGATCCAGTGTTAAGTCCGGCAGGCCGGGCTTCCAAGTCCAGCTCTGTTTGCCTGAACCTCACACGAGCCATGCCTCTTCCCCAAAGGGCAGGTACCCGCATATGATATGGAGCTGAGAAATACAACCCACCTCACTGGCGTGGGTCCTCACGCAACACCAGCAGGGTGAGCTCACGCCCCGGGCTCACTGGCTGGGGTGTGCGTGACACCCTGCAGACAAGCACACCCCATTATCTCTCTCACTTCCCCTCATCCGTGCTCCCTGCCATGGCTCCACTGCACTTTCCCCAGCCTGTTGTGCTCTGGCCAATCCAGACACCCCACCAGCCAGTCCCTGCCGCCAGGTGCCCTGGAAAACCACCTTCCTTGGGCCTCCAATGCGGATGGAGGGAATGACTTTTGATCACAAACACTGCAATCCCCTAAAGGTCACCGCCCACCAGTCTCAGGGTCGCTGCAGAGCAACGGGGTGGGGGCCGGGCTGGTTTTCAGGGGACCCCTCTCCACCAGCCCTGTGGGAGGAGGCTCCACCAGCCGCCTGTGACTCTCTGCATTTGGAATGCAGCGAAGTACTTGGTGTGCTCTGTCCTCCGCTCTGGGCCTAGCCTGCAATTCTGGGAAAATGGAAAAAATTCCATTCGATATCCTGTCCAGTGGGTGCCAACTACTAGGGTAATGAGGGCAGACCTCTCTCAATTTGAGTTCAAGTGACGAGAAGCAGCAGCCAAGAGAGCTGAGGAAAGGTCACTGTGGACAATGAGAAGAACAAGTGCAAAGGCCCTGAGGCAGGAACAGGCTGGTGAGCTCCAGGAAGAGAAGGACATTCAGAATGGCCAGAGCACAGCAAGCAAGGCAAAGAGCAGCAGAGACATCCAGGGGCCAGATTGCGCACGGGGAGGAGTCTGGATTTTCTTCTTGGTACAGCCGGAAGCAGGGAAGGGATGTGATCCCACAAACGTACTTAAAGCCAATTGTTATGAGGATTAACGAGGACTGTTTATAGAAAACACTCAGCCTAGCCTGGCCCACACGGCAGCTCAGATGTCCCTAGGGCCTCTTGTTACTGCTCCACAGGATCCCCTGGCCTGGTACGGGATCCCCTGGCCTGTACGGGATCCCCTGGCCTGGTATGGGATCCCCTGGCCTGGTATGGGATCCCTTGGCCTGGTACAGGCCCAGGGACATCTGGGGAGGGACAAGGACCCAGTTGGACATCACTTGATCGGTCCTGCAGAGGGGCCCGAGTATGGCCCCTTCTGGTGGGGGAGGTTCTCCCATGGGCCCACCCAAGTCCCCGGCTCACTCTTCAGGGACAGTCCCTGCAAAGGGCGTCTTTGACAGACCTGCTTCCCCTACCCCTGTAAGCCCCTTCCAGTGATCCTCACAAACGCCATGTCTGGGGATGCCTGGGTGGCTCAGTCGTTAAGCGTCTGCCTTCGGCTCAGGTCATGATCCCAGGGTCCTGGGATCGAGCCCCGCATCGGGCTCCCTGCTCCGCGGGAAGCCTGCTTCTCCCTCTCCCACTCCCCCTGCTTGTGTCCCCTCTCTCGCTGTGTCTCTCTCTGTCAAATAAATAAATAAAATCTTTAAAAACAAAACAAAACAAAACAAAACGCCATGTCTGTTTTGAGGGTTCAGGCTACCTACAGACAGGAAGCAAGTTATTCTTGATCAAAAATAAAATAGAACTCTAGGGGCCCCTGGGTGGTGTAGTCAGTTGGACTCTTGGTTTCGGCTCAGGTCACGATCTCAGGGTCTTGAGATCAAGCCCTGCTTCGGGCTCTAAGCTCAGTGAGGAGTCTGCTGGAGTTTCTCTCCCCCTCTACCCCTCCCACATGCACTCTCTCTAAATAAACCCTAAAATGAAAAACAGAACTTTAAGTGGAAATGAATGACTCCTATTTCCCCCAAATGTTATGTTGCTATGCTGGTGACAGCTCGGTCCGGGTCCCCTTCCCATCATGATGACCGCTGTGCCCTCTGGCCACATACACTGTCCCGGGTACGCCAAAGGCAAGTTTACACCAGGCTGTGGTGAGTTCCGATGCATGGGGGGGCCCTCCCCACAGGCCCTGGCCAGGGCGGCTGCTTCTGGGGAGGGAGTTCCTATGAGAAGACACTTCCGCTGGGTCACCCCATGGGAGTTCAAATCAACCCCAACTCTGTCCTTCAGGGCAACAGCAAGAGAAGGTACTGGCCGGGGTGCAGGAGCCCCAGA